AAGAAAGAAAATGTATGTTGTACACATACACAAAAGTACAGAATACTATCATTTAACCATTCCCATGCCATATAAATTGCTACTGTCTTGTTAAGCTGGTAAATGTTTTGTAATAATTGGGCAAAAGAGCATAACTGTTTCTTCACTCCAAGCAAAAGGACTATGGGAATGTGTGACGTTTAGGTCCCTGTAGCCTCTGTCCCCAATGATCCACTTATTATTTGATTTATGTCTGTTTCGCTGCCCTTGCAGTGACCCAGAGGGAGGGCTGTGTGGGAAGTTGGTGTGTGAGATTATAGAGAGGGCTGATGAAGCTGTGGACTTTGCAGAACGTCTGGAGCCTTAGTATATGCACAGAGACTGATAAATAGCCACGAAAAAGACATCAGGCTTAATTAGGCTTTCCAGCTTGCAGTGGTGCCTACATCTGGAGATAGCCGTGCTCATCCAAACTGTATGTAAGTACAGCACATTCTATGTACAACCTTATAGTGCAATTAGAAGTACAAAAAGTCCATGTATATTATTTTTTTCTTGTTTGCAGCTTATTCTAATAAACATGCCTTTATTACACACTCAGTTTCATAAGTACTGAAACTGCTGATTATTTATGAAGTGTAGTTATATTTAGTATACATTAGACTTATGTTGGTAACTATTTGCATGCTTTATTAATAATTATTTATAAAAAAATTTTATTGTTGGTACAGGTCTACTTTTCTTTATTTTTTATCTATTACAGTATTTTCTTTTACTATAATTTGAATGTAATACAATTTTTGCAACATGTGATATACAATACCATTTATAAGAATTATAACATAAATACATGGTCAAATATAAGCTTGCTTTATTCATTTATTAGTTGACTATTAGTATGCATGGATAATATGATTTGGGCCTTTATTTTTAAAATACACACAGGCCTTCAGATCCTATCTGTAACTATATGTCAATGTGAAGTCTCTAAGCAATTACTGCTAGTAATTACTGTGGCATGTGGTATACCATATTAATTTTTTACTGTACCAATGACAACTAATTTGCTACACTCTCACTTTTTGTTGCTGTACTGAAGGAGAGCTGCAGTTGTTAGTATGATATATGACTTTAAAGTGTTTGTTAGACAAATGTATGCCCAAAGGATATAGAGTTTGTATTTAAGTAGCTGTGAGAATCCCTAGAACACTGGAAATCATAACACCACTGAAGTGATACAAACATGATAGAAGGCCCTTCAAAGCTCATTAGTGACGTACCTGGGTTTTAAGTCGGGTACATTATTTCATGCATATTGAGGGTCCTAAATATATTTTTAAATGGTAGATTTTCCATTGTAGCCCAACATTTTAAATAAATCATTCTATGTTAACAAATCTGAAAATTGTCTGTGAAGGTTCTCATTCATCACGTTCATGGTATATCTATAAAAAAATAAGTCAAGGCAACTGGACTTGCTGTATTTTGTTGAAGATGTTTCACTGGTCATCCAACCAGCTTTCTCAATTCACAATGACTTGTACAAAAAATTATCTGGGCATAAATATGGTGAATGTTGCTCCAATCCACATAATCTGTTAATCGCAACCAGGTGTTGATTTCATTTGCATAATTGGAGCTAGGAGGTGTTATCAACCTGCCCAGATAGAGATGTTAAAACAGCTTGTATGTGGCCGACAATAAATGTCTCAACCCCCCTCCCCACCTCTATTCAACTTGGCTTCTCCATTTTTACATAAATGGTCTCTTTCACACCTCTTTTAAACCAGACCTTGTCCCTGTCCAGGATGCGTACTTGACTGTCTTCAAAGGAGTGAGCTTTTTCCTTTAGATGCAGATATACTGTATTGTCGAATCCTGACCAGAAGGTTTGGCTCTTCTATGCTGTGCCATCTGCTGGTGTAGCTGCTGTTTTGTTTCACCGACATACAATTCTGAGCACTCCTCACTGCACTGGACTGCATACACAATGTTGTTCAACTTGTGTTTTGGGGTTGGGTCTTTTGGGCCAACCAGTTGTTGCCTCAGTGTATTGCTGGGTTTAAAGCAGACAGGGATGTGATGTTTTTAAAAAACCCCTCTGAGTTTCTCAGACACCCCAGCTACATATGGGATGACCAAATTCTTCCGTTTGTCATGCTTTTCACCCTCACTGGTACACTTGGCATTATTTCCTCTTCTTTCCGTTCTGACAAAAGCCCATTCTGGATACCCACAAGTTTTAAGGCCCCCCCTGAGGTGTTTGAATTCCTTCAGGAGGAGGCCAAGACGAAGGAATTGAAACACCTCAGGGGGGCCCTTAAAACTTGCGGGTATCCAGACTGGCCACATTTTGGGAGCCATTAACTAGTAATTAACTAGTAATAGCACCACAAGTGTGTTGCACATTTTTTACGCGTTCCGTGAACATTTTTGCCCACGCTCAGCGCGCGTTCATGGAATGTCTAGCTATGAACAGGAACGTAATGCCAATGTGCAGGTTACATTCTGTCACAGGTTTTTGTGTTTGTGATAGTATTACCGAGTAACTATTTTATGACTGATAGTGAAGTTGATTGTATTCATTTTTATTTAACATGCCTTTTTTTAGACTTTCCTCCACATTTACTTGGTGACACAGCTGTCCAGCAAAACTGACAGTTACAGGGGTTGCAAAGACAACACTGATAGGGGCTAGCTTTTCTTTATTTGGCTTAAAGCTGAAGTTTAGTAATTTTTTTAATAGAAAAGTAGCACTAAACACAGAACCCACACCATTCTTCTCCTGCTGTGATCTCAAATTGCATTGCGTTCTGTAAATGGAAGAGGAAATTCTGTCATTCAACTGCTCCTGCATTGACAGAATGCAGTGCATTGTGGAATGATAGTAAGAGAAGATCTGTGAATGGAAGAAAGAGCTATGGGGGAGGGACCTCACAGACCTCTCCCACTGCAGCCTCACATAGAATGGCTAACTGTACAGTCCTGGCCAAAAGTTTTGAGAATTACACAAATGTTCACAAAGCCTGCTGCTTCAGTGTTTTAAGATCTTCTTGTCAGATGTTATTATGGTATACTGAAGTATAATTGCAAGCATTTCATAAGTGTCAAAGGCTTTTATTGACAATTACATTAGTTTTATGCAAAGAGTCCAAAAACAAAAGTAGGAAAATGGGGCTTTAAGGCACCAAGTGACAAAAAAACAAGAAATTACAACATAATAAACAAAAAGTTGTACAAAAAATTGCGAATCACCACACGAACAAGGACACCACACCCCTAGGTATATAGAATACAAAAACAGAATAGAGAAATGAATACAGAATAGCTTTAAAAGTGTCATTTATATATATTCTTTATTCAAATACATAATTAACAAAATCTGTCATCTTTGTTAATTATGTATTTTAATAAAGAATATATATATTTTTATACATTAAGCAACTTGTTTGTGTAATTTTGACCTGGGTCTCCTTGCATTTGATAAATTACACTTTTAAAGCCCCATTTCTCTATTTTGTTTATGTATTCCATAATAAATAAAAAGTTCTTTATTATACAAAAGTTAAAAATATTTTAAAACATAATTGATATGTGCACACTTCAAGGAAAAGAAACTGATCTACAAATAATCTATTCCAAGGTTACATTGTGAGGCTAAGCATAACAAACATAATTAGTATGACTTGTTCTTGTGATCATAAAGCACTCAACTGCCTCTTATGTTAGGAATAGTGATTCTCGCTATAATCACTATTCCTGACATAAGAAGAGCCAGTTGAGTGTTGTATGATCACAAGAACATGTCATACTAATTATGTTTGTTATGGTTGCTTAGCCTCACAATATAACCTTGGAATAGTTTATTTGGAGATCGGTTTGTTTTCCTTGAAGTGTGCACATATCAGTTATGTTTTTTAATATTTTTTACTTTTGTATAAAAAAGAACTTTTGATTTATTATGTTGCAATTTCTCGTTTTTTTGTCACTTGGTGCCTTAAAAGCCCCATTTTCCTTCTTCTTTTTTTGGATTTTATATACTAGGAGTGTGGCACCTTATATTCAGGATTCGGTCACAACAATTTGATTCAATTATGCAAAGAGTCAATATTTGCAGTATTGACCCTTCTTATTCAAGACCTATGCAATTCGTCCCGGCATGTTGTATATCAACTTCTTGCATAATCAATGCTTGAGTTTGTCAGAATTTGTGGGGCTTTTTTTTCGTTCACCCGCCTCTTGAGGATTGACCACAAGTTCTCAATGGGATTAAGGTCTGGGGAGTTTCCTGTCCATGGACCCAAAATTCCGATGTTTTGTTCCCCAAGCCACTTAGTTATCACTTTTGCCTTATGGCAAGGTGCTCCATCATGCTGGAAAAGTCATTGTTCGTCACCAAACTGTTCTTGAATGGTTGTGAGAAGTTGCCCTTGGAGGATGTTTTTGTACTATTCTTTATTCATGACTGTGTTGTTAGGCAAAATTGTGAGTGAGCCCACTCCCTTTGCTGAGAAGCAACCCTACACATGAATGGTCTCAGGATACTTTACTGTTGGCATGATACAGGACTGATGGTAGTGCTCACCTTTTCTTCTCCGGACAAGGTATTTTCCGGATGCCCCAAACAATCACAAAGGGGATTCATCAGAGAAAATTACTTTACCCCAGTCCTCATCAGTCCAATCCCTGTACCTTTTGCAGAATATCAGCCTGTCCCTGATGTTTTTCCTGGAGAGAAGTGGCTTCTTTGCTGCCTTTCTTGACACCAGGCCATCCTCCAAAAGTCTTCGCCTCACTGTGCGTGCAGATGCACTCATACCTGCCTGCTGTCATTCCTGAGCAAGCTCTGCACTGGTGGTGCTCCGATCCCGCAGCTGAATCAACTTTAGGAGATGGTCCTGGCGCTTGCTGGACTTTCTTGGGTGCCCTGAAGCATTCTTCACAACAATTGAACCTCTCTCCTTGAAGTTCTTGATGATCTGATAAATGGTTGATTTAGGTGCAATCTTAGTAGCAGCAATATCCTTGCCTGTGAATCCCTTTATGTGCAAAGCAATGATGACTGCCCGTGTTTCCTTGCAGATAACCATTGTTAACAGAGGAAGAACAATGATTTCAAGCACCACCATCCTTTTAAAGCTTCCAGTCTGTTATTCTAACTCAATCAGCATGGCATAGTGGTCTCCAGGCTTGTCCTGGTGCACACTGACACCTGTGTTAACGAGAGAATCACTGACATGATGTCAGCTGGTCCTTTTGTGGCAGGGCTGAAATGCAGTGGAAATGTTTTTTTGGGGGGATTTAGTTCATTTTCATGGCAAAGAAGGACTTTACAATGAATTGCAATTGATCTGATCACTCTTCATAACATTCTGGAGTATATGCAAATTGCCATAATACAAACTGAAGCGGCAAACTTTGTGAAAATTAATATTTGTGTCATTCTTAAAACTTTTGGCCAGGACTGTAGTATCTGGTG